TTCTTCATTTTTAAGCCACTGCCCATACAACTGGGCCAGTAAGAGACTGGATCATTCTGTGCCCCTAAGGTTAAGCTCCAGAGAGACCCGAAACCGAGCTGACATCCCAGCTTAATCACTTAACGAGGCCCATGTTCCAATACCAAGCTGGGCTAGGGGGATGCCAGAGATGCTTTCTGCCAAGAAAGTAAAATATGAGTTTCAAAGTGAAATGATCAGCTCTGTTTTAGTAGCGAGAAGCGAAGAACAAAGCGTGGGAAAATGACTTGGCGGAGAACAAAAGGCTAGCTAACAAAAGGCAAAAATCCATTTTCTCATCAAACTAGGTTTAACAACACTCCAGGGAGATAAGCATAGGCTCCTCCAAGTAGGAACAGGTAAATCACCCAAAAATCCAATTGGTGGAAAAATTTGCCAAGATTTGTAGAGAAAAAGGCTTGAATTTCACGCTTAGTAAAACAGAGTCACAAAGTGGGTAGTGAAACATAAATTCTGCGAGAGCAGCAGTCGGGCCTCAGGATTTAGGTCCTCTTCTGAACAGCCAAATTCTGCAGCCTAAAAGCTATACTGAGTAAAAAACATAAAAAAACAGGTGAAATTTCAGGTGTTTGTGCATGCCGAGCCTGAACTGTTTAACTGATAGAGAAGCCTCTGACCATGATGACGAGTCAAGGAATCTTAGCGGGCTACTTACTCCATCTGCACCTTTCCTAAGCTCTCTTTCTCTTCTCCTTCTCCATGCTAGATCAGTTAGCAGCTCCTCTTCTTTGATGGTCCTTTGCGCTGCTGCTTTGCACATTAAAACTTCCTTGCTCCACAGCTCCCTCCTACTCTTCTCCCTCCCCCACCCCGAGTCCGCTTTCTCTCTCAGCTTTTCACCTTCCTTCTTCTCTATCTTGCTCTCTTCTCTTCCACCTCCTCCTGTCTACAAGCTACTGTCATTTTTTTTCTCCTGCATCGCTCGCTCCTGCCACCCCATCGCCCCAGACAGCAAACCCCACACGTCTTTGATTCTGCGCTTGAAAAATGAAGATGGTGAATTTCAAAGAGAATCTTCTTCTGCTGACGCATACCAACCCACTCAACCTCTCTCACATCGTTTTATCTCTCCAAGTCTCTCTCTCTTCCCTCTTACTCTTTCTTTCTCTCTCTCTCCGTGAAACACAAGCGCGCACACAAACGTGCGCACACACCCTTCTTTCTCGCATACGTATGCGTAGACATGCACACAACCTCCACACTCTTTCTCTCACTACATCTGCTCCCACATTCCTCTCTGTGTACCCATCCCGATCTCTTTATATTCCTATATCCTATCTTCATAAACAGTTTCCAGCCTAGCTCTATTTTTCACGTCTTAATAACTCTTTCTTTCCCTGATGCCCTAAGGGAGTTTAGAATTCTCTCCACCCCCTCGCCGCTTTTCTCTACCTCCGCCGTCGTACGTGTTTGTGTACAGTCACGGATAAGTGTGGCATAAGCTCATCTAATATTGACGCGCCAGCTTGAGCACTTTTACATGGTTTATTTTTACCTGCTCCCCTTGCTCTCCACCTGTCAGTCAAAAGCAATCCTCTCAGTGGCAGCACACGCGTTAGCCTCAGCTCGTGTTCTCGTCACAGCCACGGGCCTGCCAGTGTGGCAATCAGTTCTCACACTGGCTCTAATTACACAGCCACTATGCACCTCCACTCACATTAACCACAGACTGACAAAAGAAATACAGCGTGATCCTTAAGCACCTACACACACCCCGCCACATACCGCTGCGGCGAAGGAGAGAGGGGGATACGGAATATGAATAGAACAGAGAAATGCAGAAAGCCAGAAGCAGAAAGGTACATGGAGCTAGAGGTGCATTTAGGAATGTCCCGATCCAGTTTGAAAGATCGGTATTTGGAGCGACCAAGTCAGATTTTAATCGACCGATAGGGGCTATATTAAACCTGAACAAATTCCAATCCTTTCTTAAGCCTATTTTATTCCTCTACATTCTATGCAACTGGTGTAGAGGTAGGCTTGTGCAATATAACGATTTGATCGTCCCTACATGATCTTACACTGCCTCGATATCCAGTGACATTGTCTCTGATTATATTATTTCACTAATGGCGCAAGTTTACCATTTAACTCTTTTTGAATTTGCTCTTTTTAAATGGTAAAAATGTATGAGATTTTTCTTTCAGTGTAGGTTTTTCTTAATTTTGCCTTTACTATTAAACAGCTTGTTAAAATACCTTTATGAACAAGCACCTTGAGCTCTTTATGAGCCCATCTGCAGTGACCATAATTGCAGAAAAAAAATGGTGGCACTAGTTCAAAAGAAAAATTGCCATGCTCCAATTTGGCAATTTGAAGCTCGAACTTTTAGATTTGAAGCAGACGACAAAGGTCAACCACTCAATCCAAACAATGTGACATGTGAAAACTGTAATAAACAAGTCATAAAAACTTCAAATTATCTGAACCTGAATGAAAATGATTGACAGTGCTGAGTATTTTGCACTAATTTCAAGTATTAATTTACAGCCATACATGTCTGTTACTGCACAGTCCATCTGCAGCGATCGGAAATTAGAGCCAAAATATCTCAAGACCACCTGTTTCCCAGAGACGCACTTAAGTGACAATAGCTGATGCTCTTTGAGCTTCCTTGGAGGAGTGGAAGCTGGAGGAAAGTCGCCTCTCCTGCACTGCAACTGATAACAGCTCCAACATTGCGGAGGCCATGAAAAACAGGACCTGGCTGAGTTGTTTCAGAAAAAAACTTAAATCTAGGAGTGACAAATTCTGTAAAAATCGAGACCACTAGTCAATGTTTTCTCACAGTTGGTAACACAAGACAGCTTGGCATGGTCCATATCAAGTTTGACCTCCCTCAGCATGCCCTCATTATGGTAAAAAGCTTTCACCTGCACCTAAATGTAATGATACTCAACAGCACCGCCCTATGGCTGTAGGTTTTATTTTTCAAGAGTTTTTTTAATCTGTTCTAGACAATTGCATTGTTGATCGAGATTTTTAAAAATGGTCAGTCGCAAGCATTGAAAAATCAATATCACACAAGCCTATGCAGAGGTGACATAAACATCATCCATAATTTGCAGTACTCAGAGTTTTTTTTTTCAGATTTACCTCTATTTTACCGTTTTTAACATTACATATAAAAACATATAAAAAAGGCAGGAGTAGGTTCAACGGTCATTTTGGAAAATAAGCAAAATGGCTATATTTGTCCTGCAAACATCACAATCCCTTGTTCCTATCACCAGTATGTTTATCCACAATGAGGTAATTCATCCACCACTCTGAACCCACTCAGTGACTGAAGTATGAAGAAATTTTGAAAAATTGGTGGAATTCCCTTTTAACGCATTTAAATGTCTGGAAACTACTTGAAATGAAACAGCTCAAAATGGAAAATGGAAACAGCACAACAGCCACTTGTATCTGCAAAACTTTGAAACTAGCTGCAAGTAAAATTTGAGCACATGGGCTATCGCACACTCAGCGTGCACCCACTGCATTTAAAGGCAAGAAAAATAAGTAAAAAGGAATTGTGCATGTTAGACAAACCAGAAATATTAAAGCAGTGTATTCAAGGCACCATAAAATATTTGGTAACACTATTTGAAGGCTACCAACATAGGGACTTCATAAAACGTACATAAGCACTGAATAACATTTAAAAAGCACTACACTAAACAAGACACTGAACTGACATAACTTAACCCCCTAAGAACAGCCCAGCCAGTTTGCTTTGAAGTCTCTGTACTTTCTGAATAATGAGCCATAGTATAAAATAAGCCTGGGATTTTAAGGGGTTAAACTAAAGAGGCAGACATTTGTTCATTTATAACACTGTTATAATAAGTTATAAGTTATAACTGTTATACGAACAGGGAAGTACATTCTGACTAATTTTGATATTTGAGTATCTGTAAGAGTTCATGAACAGATATCCGGTTAACTACAGAGAAGAAGAAACAATTGTAGAGCTGTGGCTTACCTTTTTAGGTGACAGCACAGGTGTTGCACAAAAATGTAACATCATGCAAAGAAAAACATTTTAAAACATTTTATAATTCAAATATAGCCAAGAAAGAAATGAGTAGGCTTTCGTGTTGAATGAGTAACATAACAGAGGCTGCCTCCGTCATTAGCTAATGAGCTAAAACTACAACTAGCCGGTGCAACCCTGGATGCTGATGGAGACTCGTCGTCTTCTACAGGCGTTTTTTCTCTTTAGTGGACAACGTGCCAACATGTTAGTTTGTCAGAGAAATATATTTAACTGTTTCTAGACCTAACATCAGCTTAACCTATGAGGTGATAAAAGCCGTGCTGTATCTGCCTTCTTAAGTCATGTCCCACAGTGTGCCCACATTAAGGCAATCACATTTCAGTGTAGCAAAGTATAACATAACATACTCGCAAATACAAGCAAAGATTTTACTTTTTATAGTTCTTTTAAAAATAAAATCAATGAATTTTCAGTGAATTGTTAGTTTGTATATTTTCTCTTCTCATAATGAACTAGCATCACCTGAACAGTGATTTCAGTATTCAAATACTGGCACCTCTAATGGATAGCTGCTTATTTGAGTACTCATGCACATCCCTACCTCAAACTAAACTGGCCATTTTCATACCTATTTTCACACATTTTTTCATATCACTAGTTTGAGGGCATCTTTAATAAAACTCTGTTTTAACTAAACCTCTTCCTTATAAGTTCAATCACTTGGAAATGATACTTCATAACAGTGTTATCACTTTTTTAGTTTACTTTCTATTTACTTACTTCATTGGACATGTTATCATATTACTGTCATAAGCTGTTAATGAAAACTTAAATATTGTTTTTTAAATATGTTATTCGCAGTCCCTTCGTGGTAGCCTTCAAATAATGTGTTCATTTTAAAAACAGTAGTCCAAAAACCCAAAGGCAAAAAAGAATGAATGATTTTACTTGATCATAAGATCTCTGTTAGCATTACCTCTGAAGCTGATGTGAAGTAGAAAGTCCCGGTACAGCCTCCTGCCATCGAGACTGCGCATTGCGTCACACAGGCGTGTGGTATTAGCACATAGTGTCCGCTGCATGCGGTGCAGGGCGTGCGCCATGGCATACACTGCATTCACCACAAACATGATTTTGGACTCGGGTTCAAAGTTGGACTCATCCACTGCCAGCCCTGGGTCGCAGGGTGGTTTGGGAGTGCCCAGCCCTGCCGATGACGACGTCCCACCCAAGGAGCACTGGAACTTCTGCTCCCAGAAGTCTTTGTACCAAGGGTTCCGGTGGTTGTTGAGTGGATTGAGGCTCTGAAAGTAGCGATTGAATTCGGGGATTGGGTGGGCCGCCAGCTCCAGGGTGATGGCTCCGTCGGCTGCAAACTCACTGCCTTTGACGATGCTCTCCTGCGCCCCCCAGCCATCGCTGGCCACCCACAGGAAGGAGGCATTGAGACGAGTGGCGGCACCTAAGAGCTCACGGGCATCATCGCTGCGCAAGAAGAGCACCACCACACGGGCCGTGGGCTTCTGCAGGAGCTGCCGCACCACTGCTTCGTACGAGGAGCGCTTAGCGTTGGAGCGACCCACCTTTTCTGACGTGGCAATGCATATGTTCCGCATACGGGCCTCCTGCTCAAAGGCCTCAATGCCAGTCTCACCATAGTCGCCCTCAGAAGCCACCGTGGAGACATAGGTCCAGTTAAAGGCGCGCAGGATCTCAGCCATGGCTTTTGCCTGGTAGAAGTCCGGGGGGACTGTTCGAGCAAAATAGTCATAGCGCGATTTGTCACTGAGCTTAGCACTGGTGGAGGCATAGCTGATCTGAGGGATCTGGAAAAGGCGCAACAAGTTCGCAACCTGGAGTGAAGAGAAAAGAAAAATGCGCAAACAGGCACTGCATTAGAAATACTGTTTAAATCAATAAGTCAGCACCTTATGAATTAATTATCCAAAGTCTATGATACATAAAATATTCTTTTTTAGCCACTTGATTGGATCAGATCACATTAGCCCAATTAAGAGTACGCAGGCAATCCCAGCAGGATGAGGCAGAGAGGGGATGTTTCTCTTTGGTCAGACTCAGCTTGGCTCTCGCACATCACACTTATATCACACCGAGGGTGAGGCAGAAGCTGCCACTGCCATACACTGCTGAAAGACTGAGAGCACATTGAGCACTTCACTGTCAGCCTGCGTGAAATCCACACTGTCAGTCCGTTGTAATCCATCAGAATACCCTTTTATCTCATCGTGATCAGGCTTTTTGTAGCATGGACATGTCTGTTAGTCTGGTACAATGGGTTTATTTTACATGCTATTAAATAACTCATAGCACAGTAATTGTCCATTACATTACTCACTGTCAAATTGAACGCAATGTTAGAGGAGAGATTTTACCGTAATGCAGAAGATCAGTAATCAGTGACTATTGATGATGATAACCACAATTTTGTTTTTCTCATTTCAGACGCTAGCAGGGAGCACTCAAATGCTGTGTGAATAATCAGTGTTTCTACAGCTTCATGGAACATAAACGTGAAGTAGGCCTAGGTTCTTTCATTTCCCAGGTGGTGTATAAAATAAGGGCTAAAATGTTGTTTAGGAATAAGGGATGGCACTCTCATGAGTATATCATGAAACATAAACTTGATGCAGACTCTTTTACTTCTTAGCAATATTATGCAAAATAGTTGCTAAACAGTTGTTGAGGAATAACAGTTAGAGCCCTCATGAGTGTATCTGCCAGAGGGATGAGCAGAAAGGATGGCCAAACAACTGCGGTAAGAAATAAACAGTGACTAATTGTTGCCGATGAGAATAGAATGATGGGCAACAATGGTTATCTAACGAGGAGACCACAGTGAGGTCACGGTCCTCCCGGCCTTCTCCAGAAACACAGAGCATTAGCTCTCTGAAGAAAGAGCTGAGGGAGAGGAGACTCAGGCAGGGGAAAGAGAGAATTAGAAAAAGACAGATTATGGATTCTGGAACTGATAGGGAAAACTGGCTTTTATGGTGCCACAGATGGAGGAGGTTATGTAAAACTATGCAAATTCCCCCAGCTCTGTTACCAGTGCCACAAAAAGGAGGAACACATAAAGCACATAATAGCATAGCCACAGTGCTAATCCAGGCATGTATGCATGAGGGAAGGAATCGGAGCAAATGGGGCTGGAGCTGGGTGGATTTAAACAGGAAAGAATGAAAAAGGGGCGGCGCACGTTTTTTTCCTGAACGCTGCGCTTTAAATAATGGATCAGGTACTCTGGAGCTGAGCAGAAGTAAGGTCTCTGCGCTGTTGTGTTTTGCTCAGTTCTTGGAGGGTGCCAAGCTCTCAGACAGAAAATCATTCACTGGTCTGTAATAATTTGGTGCGACTGTATGATGACATCACCAGCATCTCTGCATACAAACAACACTATGGAATAATTCATGTGATTGTGCCTGCCACATACAGACTTTCAAAGACCTTAAGAGACCTTTTAAAGACCTTCTGAATGGCTTTGGCTACTCGTGAACTGTACTTTAGCCGTATTTACTTTGTTTTGCTTTTTGGTGCAAGAAAAAAGGCTTTTCAAATACTTCTCTTACATTGTGATTAGACTGAAATTTGTTATTTGTTGTAAGCTCTCTGTAATTGTACAGTCATTAGACTTTTATAAGAATTCATTGTATTACAAATGCAAAGCGTATGCATTTGAAGACATGTTTCAACCTCAGACTTCGCATCAAACCAGTTTCATCAGCTCTGCTACCATCAGTTGGCATCAGGGTCAGTTGCATCCCATTTCATTATCTGAGCAACACTGCAGTTTTGGACAAAATGCACAGCTAACTACAGTGGTGCTTGAAGGATGTCCACAAATCTTGCTGCAGTGCTAGCTTATGGCAGGTGCATGTGCTTCAGCAAATACTTCACTGCATTACGAATGAAAATCATGCATTTCTGTGTAACCAGCCGTTCTGTATGTGCATGTGTGCACTATTTGTTTGACATGAAGAACTCACAATACATCGAAGACAACTTGGTAACAGACTGGGGGATGGCATCACCTTGCATCCCTCCTGAATCAAGCAGCCCTGACAATAACTCTGCTACAGAATGTCTGCAGTAACAACACTCCTTATCATGTCAATGTGAATGAGTGGGCTAACATGAATGTGCAGTAATATGTAACTGTATTCACAGCAACTGTGAAATCAAATTGGGCTGTTTCTGCAGCTTAATTTCCTGTACAGACTGGAGCACAAATGGTATGTTTTTAAACATTAGCTATACGTTCTTACAGAAGTCTCTTTTATGCAGTAGCTACCAGTCACTGGTGATGTTGTGTCTTCTACACATGCATAGCAGCTCAGCACTGACCTGTATGGAGACGCTGCTATAGGACCCTCCGATGACCCCAGCAATAGCCAGTGGGCTGTCCTCCTGGAAGGCATAAGAGCCATCGGGGCAGATAAACTCGTTGTCGTCCACCTTGGTCAGTGAGGCTCTGACGAACTCCAGTGCTTGCTCCAATGCGTAGGTGTCCCTAGAACATGTGTCCAGGATGTGGACTCCCAGGGCTACGCCTGGCAACAGGCTGACGTCACGGTTGATCTGGTCTATGGCAAAGAGCATGGCCTCCAGCCTTTGGATGCCCCGATCCTCGTTGATGCGGCCGCACTCGTCCATGCCAAGGCCCTTCTCGTGGATAGGGAAGAGGCCTCCCAGGACCAAGTCCCCGTCTATCTTAATTTCTCGACGGGGGGAGTCACCACTGGACAGCAGGACCCCAGCTCCTAGCAGCACAAGCAGCAAAGCTCGAACTGCGGATGACATGGTTACACGGAGACGGAGCAAGCACAGGTGGCCGTTCAGCGCTTTATGAGGGAGAAAGAGGGTGAGGAGGGAGCGTCAGAGGCAGGGGAGAGCCATGGACTGGACACTGAGAGTTCTGTCTGATCATACATGAAGATATGCTAAGAGGGAATCAGCTTACCACCTGCAAAGTGAGAGAGAAAAACAGAGACACAGGAGAGAGAGAGAGAGAGATTAGACAAAAAGACATGGATTCTGAAAGTGATGGAGGACAGACGACAGGTGAAAATGGTTATTACACTCTTAAAATATAGGTGCCAAATAGGGTCCTATGAAGTAATTCAATATGAGAACCACTTTTTTGGTCCCTAAAGAACCTTTCAATGGAACCGCTTTTGTACATGAGATGTGCAAGTGTGAAGAACTTTTTTAAAGGGAACATATCCTACATTTTTTTGTATTCCATTTTTCCCTTGAGGTCTACTTATAATATTTGTATGGTTTTATGTACCAAAAATGGTCAGAATTCATTTTTACATGACCATTTTCCAATCTCTCTGTATCACTTAGAATTAAATAGGCTGTTTCTGTTACTGTACCTTTAAGACTGATATATGTAAATGAGATCTGCCCTGTATGATGCCTCATTCAAAAAGCACTTGGAGCAGAAACACTCCTTAGAACTTCACTATGAATGGGTGGGGCTAAAGTGCAGTAGGCTGAATAGGTGGATATACAGTGTGTAAATGAGTTGATTATCTGACATCACAGAAACAATGAATTCAAAACAGGGTGTTTTTACAGCTTAGTTTCTAAACATGGACCATGTGGACTGGGTAGTGAATGGTGCGTTGAAACTTGAACAAAGTGACTTGAACAATAAATCGGGTTTTCCACAATATAAGCTCTTTAAATTTTAGAGAACTTCTCCATAATTTAAACGTTCTACACCAATTACAGTGAAACAGTGCAAACATTGCAAGACCCATTTAGGAAGCTTTATTTTTAAAGTGTAGGATAGTAAAATTTGGTGTCTCCTCAAGTTTTGTTGTTCTCCATTGCATGCAGAACCAGTGTGCAAGCTGCAGAGTTGAGAGGTGAAGTCTATGCTTTGATAAACTCCTAAAAAAACAACACGCTTCACACACACACACACACACACACACAAACAAACACACATGCTCCAGTTTCACCCTCCCTCATCTCTACGCCTGTGAACAGATATGTCAGAACAGATACACAAGGATGAAGAAACACACAAACATAAATCAATAAGTACATAGCCCCCGAGAGAAGGCGAAAATGCTACACTAAGGGTGAAAATGTTGAATTAAAAGGGTAAACTGGATCAGAAGCGAACACAATCTATCATTGCTATGATAGGGAGAGAAACTCATGGAACAAAATGTTTCAGATCTGAATGACCAGTACTTTCTGGCACATGTCTATGAGTGTTTCTGTTCAATACAGTTTAAATGCTAGAAAAACTTCTAAGTGAGTAATAAGTGAAAGTCCCTCAGCTCCTAGCGCAGGTCTGCAAGGCCATCTTAGGAAATATTGTATCTTCTATTACTGCAGGGTTTTTCTCTGCAACTGTTTACTTCAAAGGGCGAGCCTACAACAGTGTTGTAATGTTCACAGAGACCTTCCTTATCTACTGTAGTTATATACTAATTGACTTATCAGTAGCAGTCTGCAATGTGACAATATTTATAGGTATCGTGATGAATCAGGTCACTTTATGTCACAATGAGCTCTTCTGAGTACATTTTGGATAAGAGTGCATAATTAGCCTACTTTTTGACAGTGTTTTTATTTTTAAATATGACACTACTTGTTCATTTGAAACTTATCAAACCTCAGAAAACGGAATACCGTGACACATATTTTGTATCAAAGAATTCTTTCATAGCAACTTTTGCAAGGTTGGACAAGCTTTATAGAACTTCAGAAAACCCAAATATGTGAAAGATCATGCTGTTCAAATGGATTAGATGTAGTTTTTTTGTTATGTCACAACAAATGTGAGCTTAGATTTTCATGGTGGCAAATTTGTCATTGTTGTTTCCAACCTGTTCATCTTGTGAAGTAATATTATCTTAAATCTAGTCAATAAGTCCAATATTTCTCCAGTTGAGATTGTTGTAAGCTTAGTTTAAGATTATTTAACGTATTTCCAAACATTTTTTACTTGTTTTAAGTGATTTTATTAAGTAAAATGATCTCACTATAGTGGCAGATAATTTTGCTTGTTTTAAGACATGTGCTTGAAACCAGCAAAATTGTCTGCCAATGTAGTGAGATCATTTTACTTGATAACATCACCTAAAACAAGTAAACAGAAATAAGCTAAATAATCTTATAATAAGTGCACAACCATCTCAAAATAAGAAACATTAGAAAGATCGACTAGATTTAAGATCATTTCACTGGACAAGATACTATTTTTTGCAGTGTGATGAGCATAATATTGTAAACTTAAAACTCAGTGTTACATAGTTACTCAAAACAAAGTGTGCTACAATTTCTTATTAGGTTGAATGTGATGATTTCCAGTATTCTGGAAAGCTTGTCCGATCTTGTCCTTTTACTGCTTGTTTGCAATAAAAAAACGCATTTGATGGCATGTTGCATGATGAGTATGTTGGGAAGCTTCCTACCACCTACACTCTAAAAAAAGATGGTTCTTCAAGGGTTCTTTAGTAAAGAAAATGATTCTATAAAGAACCATGAAGAACCGTTTGCATGATTCAAGGGGTCTTTGCATCATGAAAGCATTCTTCAGACTGATGGAGAATGTGCTGTAGATGGTTCTATATAGAACGTTTTTGAAAAGGATTCTATATAGCACCCAAAAGGGTTCTTCTATTATTACAAGCTTGACATCGTAACAGTAGAAGAACCTGGTCACGCTTTATTTGGATGGTCCCCTATAGATGCTCTACAGATACCTAAATCACTAACAAACTTTCTGGTTATATTCAGTTGATCAACAACAGTATGGTTATGGTTAGGATTAGGAGTAGGTGTAGGTTTTGCCTTGAGGTTAAGGTTAGGATTAGGCTTAGGGTTAGGAATAGATTTAACAGAATCTTTCATACTGAACTTGAAGTTCAGTTTCATTTAATAGATATTTAGTTGAATGTTACTTAAAGATATACTGAGCATTTACAAAGCATCTACAGTGGACCATCCAAATAAAGTGTTACCAAGAACCCTTCTATATAGAACCCTTTTCAAAAAAGTTCTATAAGGATCCATCTATAGCACATTTCGATGAATCCTTTCATGATCTTTGCATTTCATCATGAAAAGTGTTTATAGACCCATTTTCCTTACAAAAGAACCCTTAAAGAACTACCTTTTTTAAGAGTGTCTGACACCAAATACCTTCTGTTTTGGAATCTGTTCTGTAGTATGCAGTGCCAAATATGTCAAGACAAGTGTGTTGCACAGGCACACTGGTGAAAAAATCAGACTTGGTATTCAGTGTATGTCATTTAACATGTATGATTCAAGATCAAAATGATCCCTCTTAGTAAATAATTAAAAACCGTACTAATAAATAGCTGCTCAGATAGCATGCTTTCATTGTTCAGAAGGATCTGACACTCTAATTGACGGATCAAATCTGCGCTCGCCGTTCCACTCCTGGCGACGAGCTGCTGAAGCCACTCAGATGTGCGGCTGATATCTAAGCCCATGTTTTGATCTCAGGGCTTGGAAAAGCTTCTCTAATCTGATTTCCTCTCCCACATTCCCTTGCGGAGGAGGCATTTAGGAGACCTGCGAGGAGCCAGCCCCGTTTCCAGCACTCTGGCAGACTCATAAAGCCTTCAGGCCCGCTCCCGAATAAGAAGAAGAAGAAGAAGAAGAAAAAGAAAAAGGCTCGAGTGCTGGATAGCCTAATGCTCATCCCCGGCGATGCTATCTATCTTTACAGTGCTACGCTACACAAAACCCGTCGTGCTGCAGGCCTCTGGTGGCTGCACGTTAACAGCAGCTAGCCTTGTTATCTCTCTCCCGATTCGGTCTGCCAGCCACAAACTCCACAAGCTCCAGCCAAACAGCTACAATAGCTCTTGCAGTGCCTGCGTGCAGTGTGTGTGTGTGGGCCTACGTTTCAGTGCGTATCCTCGCACTTTTCTCTCTTTGTATGTTCTTTCTCCTGAGAGATCAGCAAGAATACGGGTGGGGGGTGAGATCTTTTGCTTTGATGGCAGAAGCTTTTGACTGTTCAAGAGCTGCTGACTGGTGCCATTTTAGCACATTGAGACGGCTGAAGTCATACTGGGTGTGAGGAATCAGCGCTTGGTCTCCTTCACCGCTAAAGCTTTGCCGAATTCATCAAAAAAATAGCATGCATTGTTTGATACCAAAAAGGACTCTTTTGGGAGATGTTTTAGTTGTTCATGCTGATGTGCAGTGAGCTAGTTATGTTCAAAGCATTTAGGATAATTTGAATGTGCTGTCTGTACATAGAATAAAAAAGCCCATCAAAATACAGTGTTCAATCTGGGTATCAAAGAAAGAAAAACAACTGGGTATAAGAAAAACAGCCCAGTAATTTTGAGGCTAGAACACTCAACCAGTACAGATTACCAGCAGCAGAAACTCCTACAAATACTAGTATTATAATCATATTGCTACACGCCTTGCGATACCCCTTGCAATATGTCAAAAATGCAGGGGTGGACCTCTGCTGTAACATGGTTAAAGACTATACAAAATAATCTACTTTAGTTGGATTACAAGAACAACTTCATTCTTCAGCCCACCCACAGAAACTTTGAGAACTGTGATTGATGAAGCTCAGCACACAGTATAATCCACTGGGATTGTTTAGAAAGCTTATTAGCATATTGCAACATTCTCAAGTTCAATGTCATGATAACAATAAACAAACAATATATTGTGCAGACCTGCTCAGTCCCATGCCAACCCATCAACTTTACTCACATCCACCTCTATTCCCCTAAACTGTATTTAAGACAAGTGCGCTTTTACCAGTAAGAAGTAGAAGGCGTTCTAGGTCCCTCCCTGAGCCACATACTTTAGCCCATCTTTAAGCAGTTCCCCTTGGCTAATCGTGTTAATTAGCTTAGTGGGGTAGGACGGGAGCAGGGTACAGGGGCTTTTTTGGGTACAGAGAGCTTCTGAAATTAATTGGATTTTGCTTGCAGG